CCGGGCGCAGCTCCATCGGGCTGGCTGAACGGCACAGCCTGACGCGTGTTTCTCCGCTCACACGCCCGTGATTCTGGCGTCTAAGCCGTGGGTGAGTGAGTGGCCCCGCCTGACCCTGTCTGAGCGGAGCTGCGTTTCTGGGCCTCTCCCTCCTCTGCTGCTGACGAACTCAGGCGGAATCCCAAAGCAAGGCTACGAAAGCTCTTCTCCTTAGGTCCTTTGAAGACACTGAAAAGGGGCTGTTTTCTCTTTTAAAACCAAGAATTTTTCTGCCACTTTTTATCTTCAGGGTTGTCCTTGAGTGTAGATCTTTATTTTGTTGCCTCATATTTGAAGTTTATTGTTTAATGGAGGGATTGCTCTGTCTCTGTCCGGAAGTGGTGTGGGATTTTGTGCCATTCACACACGCCAGAAAACGCCCGAGCTCGGAGGGGACGGGGGGATGGTGTCCCAGCCTCCCTCTGATCTGCTGCCTTCAGTTTATCCGCACAACCTGTCACCCAAGAATGTGCATCTGATAACAAACCCAGAACGCACACAGTTCATTTCCCATCAACAGTGATCACAGACTTTAGATTGAAGTGGATAGTGGAGTTTTCAGTAATTATGTTCTGATATGAAATTGGATTTTATACTTTTTTTCCGGGTACTCATTTTCCTTTTTTAACTTAAAATCCTTTATACTGACTTTGGCTAAATTTAGCTTTTGTAACTAAGAAAAAAGTAAAACTGTTCTTTTTTATTAAAAATAGAAAAATTAGGAAGCATATCTGAGGTTTTTAGTTGACCTTTGAATTGAGATTCCAGGCTAACTTCTCTAGACATCTGAGCTGTGATATTTGTGCTTTTCTTTTCCCCCCAATGATAGGTAATGAAATTTTCTCAGTTGTACAATTCCAGGAAAGTGCTCTGAGGGGAAATGTTTTTGAGCCGACTGAGTGATGTTTTCACTTGGCTCCTGTGCTTACACAGTGTGTGCCTGTGTGCTAAGCTTCCTTTGTCAACATTAGGAACGATTAGTTCATTGAAATTAATCGTTGTGTCTGAGTGAGTCTTTCCTCTTGACAAACTGCGCGCGATGGTGGAAGCTCCTGATTGCAAGCTGGGGCGGGACAGCCCACTCGTCTTTACAGCAGCCGTGGAGGCCCTTGCGTCTGCACTGGTGCCGCAGCCGGAAAGAGACGCCCAGTGATGGTGTCCATGGGCGTATTTCCATCCCGCGGGAGACTGCCTAGTCCAGCCGTGGGCAAACTACGGCCCGCGGGCCGGATCTGGCCCGTTTGAAATGAATAAAACTAAAAAAAAAAAAGACCGTACCCTTTTATGTAATGATGTTTACTTTGAATTTATATTAGTTCACACAAACACTCCATCCATGCTTTTGTTCCGGCCTCCGGTCCAGTTTAAGAACCCATTGTGGCCCTCGAGTCAAAAAGTTTGCCCACCCCTGGTCTAGTCAGTATACTGTTGCAAAGGGGGACAGTAGTTTACTTTATATCTTAACAAAATATGAATATTTAGGATGAACTCAGAGTTAGGAATTACATTGCGCATGTGTGTGGGAAATCCAGGCTTACCTTCGACCCCAGCGGCTCCTGGCAGCAGGCACCCTGCCTGGGACGACAGCTGCCTCCAGCGCCTCCAGGACCGGGTGTAGGCAGGCGCAGCGAGGGCGGCCCTTGGCTGCAGACACTTGCTTTCCTGGCAGGCAGTTCGCTGCGAAGGCAGAGGAGGCCCGTGTCAGCGGCCAGGGGAAGGAGCCAAGAGCTGGAGGAAGAGCTGAGGGCAGAAGTTAGGGGAGGAGCATGCGGAGGGAAACTGAGGACAGGAAAGACCCAGAAAGAGGAGGGCAGAGACGGCAAGGCCAGTCCGTGGGAATTCAGACAACGTGCCGCTTTCTCACACCAGTAAATGACGTTTGGCTGTTTCATGGTTTGTTCTTATTTTGTTCAAGATTAAATTTTGTTTGCCGGTAGGGTCATTTTGAAAAGCCCTCTTTTCCCCAGAAGTGACATTCTCTAGCTCCTTCACTGTGTTTGTGACTGGGGACACTTTATGCAGGTTCCTTGAATGTAGAAAAATAAGCCGAACACGCCCAAGGCTCAAAATAGCCAACAGCCGCGCGTCGGACCCTGGGCCGCCCAGCTGCTGCTGGCCGGCGGGGCTGAGTGTGGCAGTCATAGTGTGGGTTACTTTGTTTATGAGACTCAAAAAATATTTAAGAAAAAGTGATCTGGAAAAGGCAAAACTCAATCTGTTGCCCCTGCACGTGCCCCGACTGGGAAGCGAACACGAAACGTTTTGGTGCAGGGGTGACACAGTCTGTGGGCCACCCTGCCAGGGCAGAACTCAGTCTTTTGAAAAACATAAGTTTCTTTCAATTCTCTTGTTTAGCCAAACCGCTGACCATTGTATCCTTTAGACTGACGTGCATTTAAGATAATGGGGTATTGGCTTGTAAATAGAGCTAAGACACTTGGGGAAAACTTAGATTTTCCAGACAAAATGGAGTCAGTTTTCTCTTTCTGGTGACGTAAGGGAGGCCTGAGAGCAGGTTCTTCATGAGCTCTTC